GAAACAGTACTATATAACATTTTAGACACATTCTAGACAGTTTATCAGCTAAAAAAAGTTAATTTTGGGGTAAGTTACTCTTTAAGTATGATGTAATAGTTAAAATGTATTGTCATTGTGCGACTTGGTTCACTACTGAAGAGGGGGAGGAAGCTGTGTTGTTTTGTTTACAGTAACTTTATTTTTAGTCCTGAAGTTTTACTAGAACTTTTTAGCTTGATTGACGCGAAGCTTTTCCTAAAACAGACATAGTTTCATTCTTACAAAACAAAATAAAATTAAATGTATGAAAAAAAACATCATATTTAAATATACAAGGTAGCAAATCAAGGCCGATTTAAATAAAAATGAATAATAACCTAAAACAAAATGCCCTTATGCATGTTTTTTTTTGTAATCACGAAAAAATCCCATTCAGTTACATGGAGGTGTTTGACTTCACAATGTATTGCAACCAGACACCAGGGGGCGCTGATCCATAGTGGCTTCAGTTTGTTGCTTCTAGTCTTGTCTTTAGCTGTGATACATCTTGATGGACCCTACACAATAAAAAATAAATAAAAACAGCTGCATTTGCATGAGTAAAAACTGAGCTGCATATGGCCATCATTTCATGGCCTCAATAACTCAGAGAATGTTTCTGGAAAGGGTTTTAGGTCACACACAGGCCTGTGGATCCAGAATCAATCCAAAAGATGCCAGGATTAAAAAAATAAATAAATAAAACAGCAGAAATTACAGCATAATGTGTTGATGATAAGTAACACTTTCAGCCAAGGAGAGGGTCACGCCCCCACCGAGAAAGCTGTGGGGGAAGTAGAGCGAACCATCTGTGAATTCATAAGCAAGGTGTTGGTGTGTGGTATGTGCATGTGGAGGAGATGCACTGAACATGCCCACTCGCATGTGGATCATTTCTGTGGCATTTTCACAGCTTCAAGTGTGCCAGAGTGAAAGAGTTGACGTGGCTGTGAAGAGAAAACAAGGCTTCTTTGATCAAAGCCTCACAGGTTAATGTTGCTTCTTATTAAGACCTTAAGTGTTCAAATTACATCACGATTAAATGAGATTCAGGGACACTATCCAGACGCTTTTAGGGACTTTGTTACAAAACCACAAGATGAAATAATTTTAAAAGCTATTTCATAACTCAAAGTCATTCAAAGTGAACTTGGATAGTTACCAGTTTTATTGTAAACTATTGTTTGTTCATATTGTGTAAACATACAGCTGTTTCCTGGTTAAGGACTAAAAAACAATACCAAAATACAGTATAAACCATTCTGTTGCTTAATAAAAAAGCATAAAAAAATGAGTCGCTGACAAACTCAAAAATGAAGTTAATCAAACTAGACAAAAATAAATGAAGCAGGCATATAAATATATATTTTGTCTACTGGAAGTTATTTTGATTAGTCCAAATAATTATTAGCTTGTCAGTTTAAATCGAGCTTTTAAGGTTAGATGACCTTATCTTATTTTTAACAAAATTTAATTACATGTTGACGGAAAAAAACTATTTTTGAGACAGTTGCAGGTGTGACCTGTTGGGTCATCAAAGTCCTGGCATCTAACTGACAGCTGGAAGAAGGAGAGAAGTGAGCAGCGTGCAGGAGCTGCTGCTTCTGTTCAAAGATAGTCTCCAGCTTTATCTGCCAACAGAGTGCGACAGATGTTCACATTTTAGGGGAAGTATTTTGCCATCACAGATTTTGCAGCATCCAGTAGAGAGGTGCAGTTAACAAGGCTAAATTTGGGTGCTGGGTGTTTTTCCATCAGCCAGCCTGAGGTGTGAAGGTGTTTCCTCTGCTCCTCTCTGCTACGTGCTAACATAAAGACAAAAATAGCAGATAAAAAAATCCTGTTAATTGAAGTCCTTGACTCACCGTGAGTCAGCTTGGATCCTAAAATACAGACAGTGCTACTACTGAAGAGTTCCAGCATTATTACTAACCAATAAATCAACAATTCTCAAGGTATGGATTTTGGTTCAGATCCAGACCAAACTCTGAGTCAATCTGGATCCAGCCATATTATATATATTAAAATGGTTTTTGATGACATATGGTATTATAAAGTGTGGGGCTCCTTTCAGAAATAAAGAGCAGTGTTTCACCCTCATTCCTGGCCTAGGCAGGGCGGACCACCCTCCATATTTAAATGAGACATATGCTTTCAAATCCTTTTTCACATTTAAATTTCAGTTGGGGTCTATATGAAGAGGAGCTGCAATGCTTGGGTCTGAATTCCTCATTACTGTAACTCCACAAGCCCCTCTTTCACCTATGTCTCAGATCAACTGGTTTTGAGGGTGTCTCTTTAAATCCAAATGAGACGCTTCACATACACACCCCTCCAGCTTCCAGACCAGTTCATTCTAGTTTGATAGAGGGGTTTACGACTATAAGTGAAGAAACATTTTAGTTACAAATGAATTAAAAGATGCCAACAAGGGAAGACTTGTCCATTCGGCCTTACATGTTGGAGGAGACTGAAGACCACCAAATATTAGTTTGTAAATCCAGACAATATTTAGAAGTTCTATCACAAACAATTGGATGTAAAATTTCAGAAAATGCAATAGAAAATGCAGAAAACTGAAGGGTTGAAAATGAGCCTAACAGAACATACAAATTCAACTTTTCTGCAGAAACTCCAAGTACGCAACAAAATGAATTTAACAGGTAAAAAAGTGAACCTTGCATGATAGGTCTCCTTTAATGTGTAAAACCTACAGAGTGCAGTCTGTATAGACACTCTTTCTGTATTCATGAGCAGCTTGTCTCACTGACAGTCTCCTGAATGCTCTGAGAGCCTGAGAGCGAGCTTCATGTTTGAATAAACTACAAATGGAAATTCATTTCTAAGGAAATGTGTTTAAAGTGGAAACAGAGAACGTAAATATAATAGAAAATATCTGGTAAATGTGGAGGATTTTCCAGTTTTATTTTATACAACTTTTTATTTTATTTACTGAAAACAACTGTCTCCCTTTGTTTTCTTTTATCTTCAAATCTACCTTTTAGAAACCTGTTTTATGGGACCTAAAATAAGTATTTGAATCTCCTTTATTAAATTAGATTTCGATGGGGCCGATTATCGATTTCATGTTAGAACATGGTGTTAAAAAGTCATGAAGTCTATCCAAAGCTTTTAATGGAACACCAGAGACAAAGCAGTCTTTTTGGTTGGAGTAAAAACTGATCCTCGAACCTCTCATAGTCTAGGAGCTCACCCAACAAGCTGTTCATCTCCTAGTTTTACTCATAGTACTTAGAACTGACACACCTTGCCCTTTTCCACAGTCTTAACTTAAAATGATCCATTAAACTGGCTCAGGCTGAAACATCAGCTTAAGTCTGGTTGTAAAATATTTGTTAGAATTTCTCCAATCAGTAAAAATTTGCCTTTTCTTTTCTTGTGTTTTTAGAAGTGATCATTGAACCAATCTTCTCTTAACATTTTGTAATGATAGACCTGCTGGAGCAAATAATGATGCTGGTTTTTAAATATACTTTAAAAATCCTGGATTCGACACCTGGCTGTGTTTGTATGGACTTATCAAACCAGCCATCATATTTAATAAAAATAAAACATGATTTTTTTTTCTCTTTTGGTATGTCACTTCGGTGAATACTTTTAGTCCTGTTTGTTTTAGACAAGTTCCTCCTAGATAAAAAAACACAAGCAGTTCGTAGAAGATCAGATATTCTTTGTGTTCTGTGAGACGGTAAGGTTCTCCATCAGATTAATAATATTCTGCATGTTCTTTCTTCATAGAACTTGTTGTATCAGGTCTTCTTGGTTCGGCGTGGTCAACATCCTGTGACTGAACATGGTTCAATTATAGATCTGCTGTCATGTGTGTTGTTGTTG